TGGTATTTTTTATAACAAGAGAATGGTTAGTCACAATTTAAATGACCGATATTAAATTAAAAAAGTAACAAAGTAAGTTTTGTAAAATTGAAATACCTCGCAGTTGAACGCTAAACTAAAATCTACTAATTTCCTCAGAGAATAGTATTGAATGTCAACCAGTCTGGTCCTAAAAGATTAAGGCTTAAACAAAAATAGAAATGATTTGAAATGAGATCAATGCTCAAAGTGATTTATAATATGAAATAAAATATATTTTTATGTTCAGTAATGCTTTTCGATGGAATTTTAATTAAAATTGATAAATGAGAAAGAGATTGTTTTTGTCTATTCATGAATTAATTTATGGTTGACTAAATATAAACACTAAATAGTAAAATTGGAAAACTATTTGAACTCTTGCAAACAAAGGATTATTTTACTTTCGAAATAATAAAGCCCAAAAATATCAAAAGGAATATCTCACATAGAAATGGCTAAGCCGACATTAAATGTGTGATAGGAACATATAAAAGGCTTTTCACAATAAACACGTTCCATTACAGTTTCGGCACAGATAACGTTGAAAATCAATTAAACAACAAAGGCGGACACGTTGGGTACGGAAGGGTACAGTTTCCATTGAAATTTTCTAAAATAGATATTAATTAAAACCACAAATGAATGAAAAATATTCATTGAATGTGCGAGTGTGATGACAATAGAGCGCTGGAGTGAGAAAGAACAAAAGCTTTGGATAATTGGAATCTCGCTTCAACGCACTTCGTGAAGTCTTTGTGAAGCTGCCACTTCACTGCAACACACGGACATTACCTATATTGTAACGTAGGTAGCAATACTGTTATCAATACCTGGTAAACGATCGGCCTACTGATCATTTACGATACTATTTGAGCCACGGTAAATATACAAACTAGTAATTTTAAACACAATTAACAATGGAAACACAAATTAGGTATTCGTGTAACGCGCCCTAACACTAACCATTTTCTAATAAGCCAACTGGTAAGCTAAATGTTTTCTCACTGGAAACTTTCAGATGTAAATCTTACTTAACACACTTAGTAACGGCTTGGCGGCTTATTTACGACTAGACATTTCCTTTAGTTATGTATATTGGCCTGTTTACAAACGAACAAATCTTTTTAATTATCCAATGTAATGTACAAGAAGTGGCAAACAAATATACGTTTCACTTAATAGATCTGTACTGTAGCCAAAGATTTCTTTGATCAAATACTATTTGTACTTTCTACCTGGCTATTTCATTTTTACTTATGTAGATAAGTACACAAAGTGGATGTGTATCCATATAGAATGCTTAAGTTTGGACAATAGAACACAAAGTAACTTTAAAAATTCAGACGAAGATTGTTTGAAAAATCTTTAATAATTCTGACCTACAAGAAGAATTTTTATCTTTTTCAAAAGAACTTGTTGCGTTTCACATTTCGGCACGTAAGGAAATATAAATGTTGAATGTAAGTGGCTCCTTATCGAGGTCTCCCAGAGGCACAATAACAGGTCACAATTTATGCACCATTGCAATCTTAAAACTCCGCAGTTTATGGTCGTGTGAACTCAGATAGCACTTAGTAGAATCGTCCGTTTTGTCTACTAAAATCTATACGGTATTATGCCTTTGTGGAGAGAGGGTGCTTAATCAGTCGCTAGTTCTGGTAAATTGAAGTGTTTTAACTGGCTATTCAGGGAATAATAACCTTTTATAGAGCTTCAAGAACATTGTAGTTGAATTGGTTAATGAATTTCTATCGATAGCTGGATTACAGGAACTTTATAATTATGTCATTGAACTTTAAATAATTATAAATTAACGTGTACCCCGCATTATTCGATAGTGACCTAAAGATTATACATACAGCTTACAAATCTATTGTACTGAATAAATGCAGTAACTAAAATGTTTTGTGGGAAAATTCAATATTTGTTAATTAAAATTTTTAGTAACATATTTGAACTTCAATATTTTATTAGGTAGAGATTGATATCTTAACTGGCGTAAATTGCTTTTTTTGGAGATTTCATCATTGAATAGTGAAGTTTAGTTGTGGTGGCATGTAAATTTCAAATAATGTTGTAAAGTTAATGCCTCATTTGTTGACCTCGTGTAACATCACTCTGCTAACTGTTACATGCGCCCTGGCGTTCTAATTCAACTCATTATGAGTCCCAAAGGATTATCATAAGCCCGCCTGTTTTACGCTAAATAGACTGAGCAGATTACTGACAATCAGTGGTCATTAGCTTGATTAATTTTAAATAAATCGAGTTTATTGTCAGGCTTTATAAGGGGAGACGCAACCAAAACGTAAAGTAAGTTAGGAAAGAAAATAAAGAAACGATTGTAATTTTTGCAATGTACAACTACAATATGAAAGCAGTTAGCTAATACGTTCCAAGCCTTAGAGCCTTTAATACTATTGGGATCCATTTCTTTTAAATTGAAATCTATTAAAGTTGCCTGTTGTTAGCTATAGTTATAAACCGCTCGGTAATACTTACATGAAATTGCTTTTATAAAACATTCTGTTAGGGTATTTTGTCGATCGGGGCATTCGCAGTGAGTCTTCCCAGTATTCTTGAGTTCTACTCTGTCTCACACAAAGTCTAGGTTTTATAATTTATTTGACAACGAAATACTAGTGTGCTTACCCTTTTCTAGAAAACTGTCACATTATGTAGATAAACCAATATTAAGTGACAGTAATATAACGTTTACGTGGATTACTGATTAATGTAGGGTCTAAACTTTAGTTGCTTCACCGAATAGGAAGACAAGTTTAGTCAGGTTTAGAGAATAAATCAGACGGGTAGACTGTCGCTAAGTCAGACCCTTCGTTATGTGTCAACTGGTTTTATACTTTGTGAGCGTTCCGTCGAGACGATAACTATCGTACTTTATCATTTCCTTTTCTCATTCATATTTTATCTACGAATATCGTTTTCAACATATAGAATAACATTAGCCATTTAACGTAAATCAAATAAGCAAATTACAAACTCCGAACAACAACGCAGCTACTTGTTATAATTAATAAATTACTTATTTAATCCGGAACAAAAGACCAAGTTGTCAAATTCCCGACAATATAATGGGAAATTTATAATAAAACAAAGGTATTCTAAATTAATTAGAACCGGTTTCTAACAATGGGAACAAACTGAGTATGGATAAACAGCCACAAAGTGCTTGACCTCATTTTGGGAACGTTTAAAATGGACTGCGTTTACACCGGACTGTAATGTGTGTTTTACATAAAACATGGTGTTTGTGTTGGCAGTGTTTTATTCTCGCCGTCGAAATTGTTGTTAGTTGTTTCTTCTAAGCAAGAGGACCTGAATTTTATTACTATCTAAAAGTTAGACTACTACAATTTACGCATTCGTTACGTTGCTATATGTCGTGGGTTCGATTCCCAATCGTAGTAATTCTTTATGTAATCCAAAAATTGTTATTATAGGTACAATGGTTTAAAACATGATATTACACAAATGTAACCTATACACATACTATTCTGCTTCTTAAGACAAAATACTAGCAAAAATATAGCAATAAAAGCAAGCAAAAATTTCAATCCAGCGATCAGCTAAACTGCATGGGTGTGTGGTGTATCAATGACATTGTGGGCACAACGGCCTTTGTTGAGAGAAACGATACTCCGTTCTATCGAAGCATAACTATTGGGTGGCATTTTTATGGACGATAAAAAGAGAACCCTTTGAACCCAATGTTGACGTCATATTTTATAACATAACAATCTAAAAATGGTCTCTGTTGTCTAAAAAAGCTTTGCCCACAATATTGTTATTTCAAGTACTGTTATTGTTTGCAAAGTTTTGGTTGCAGCCCAAAAATATTGGTATTATTTCATTGTTACAATAGTTTTAGTAAACCTGACCAAATATGTACGTGGATGAAATATTTTGTTTGAAGTTAGATTCATTTATTTTTAAATGTCATTAAGTGTAAACATATAAATTGTATGTTGTTAATAAAATATATAAAAAATAATGTTTCTTTTGAAAACAATGTATTTAAATATTGAAAACTTAATTAACAGTATAATTGTAGTTCCGTAGATATGGTAAATGTAACTGATGTCGTTTGAAGTTAAAAATATACCAACACCTACATGATGTTTTTTCATTCTTGCAGACAATTTCTCTGTCCAAAGCTATTTGTTTACTGATCTCATGACTTTTTAAATACAGGGTGCTACTGTATCGCCCCCAGCCTTTTTTAATATTCAATGCGATGAAAAAGAATTATTATTGTTTGTAATAATTATTATACGCGTTTTAGACTCTGAGAGGAGATAACAATATAATTATGTGCAACATAGATATACATAAAATATGATATTAAATACCAAGTAGTGACATCAAATGCCATTAGCAAGTCTCATTTGATTAGTTAATAAATTATCGACAGATTATGGTATTTCGCTTCGCGATGAGTGTGTTAGTTCTATTATTGCAAAACAATTAGATTACTTGATAGAATATTAACATAACGTATTGTCTGTGTTATTAACTAGATATAATTGTCATGATAGACATATACACTTACACAAGTACCTATTGTTTCAATATTTTGCTTATACATTTGTTTTCTAGTTACTACAAATTTCTTCTAGAAAATATTCTGTATGATAAATCGTGGCCTTTAGTACGAACCAAGTGAACGAAAATAAAAATCCAAAGAATTATGTCGTCTACGGCGTAGCCGCATCGTCTCGTAGCTAGCTAGCTAGCTAGGCTAGGCTTTATACGTCTATTTAGTAATATCTCTATGTCAATAAAACGACCTACTAGTAGATTATAAAATAAAATATAACCCCTTATAACTTTTTTCAACTTAATAATCAAATTTTTTCAAATGATCCCAAGGGTTTTCTTTTTTCTTCAACTGATTATATTATAAAATCTCTACAGTGATTGCTTTCTTAAATTCAACTAATTTGAATTCTTCTTTACAGATTGGCAATCTGAAGCACTACTTTTTACTATCACATCCACACGTCAGTAAGAGATCACCTAACGCCAGCATCGACCATTACAATAACCTTAAAAATGACCCACAGGTAAGCATTTTTCATCACTATTTGTTTCTAAAAAAATAATTATATAAATAATCATATTCGTATTGTTTAAAGTAGTAACCGTTACACGGAGTTTAAGTCTTTGCTATTCACACGTGAAAAGAAGATTCAAAATATTATTTTATTGGTGTAGGGTGGCTAACGAGCTGACGGATCACTTGTGCATGGCTCTTCCAGATACGATTTTATATCATTTTAAAGTTATTGGTAACATAACTATAGAAAGAATAGATTTGCAATGAAAAGTAAATCTCAATTCAACTAACTCCATAAACCTACTAACCCTCCCTTGGTAACTGTGTGGACTGATATTAATTTCATAGGTACATACATTTATTAAACTTTATTGAACTATTTGCTACCATTAGTAAACAAACTAACGCTGTAATTTGACATAGTAATGTTATTTAACTTGGTAATGAACTAGGTTACGTGTATAATTAATTATCTTAGATCATGTTAACATTGCTTTTTCAAAACGTCTCCTTTTAATAACGGAGATTATTAAGTGAGGCATTATTAAGAGGGAGTGGAAAATTCAAGTTAATTTTGATTTGAGAAAGATATGATATTTAATTATGTGTAATTATTCATTAGTATCAAAATATCAAGGAAAATTTGGTATCAACTGCTTTCTTGACACATATTTTGATATAAAATTAACGTGTAAATTGTAGACATGAGAATGGAACAAATGGTTAGATCTTAAATAACCTAGTCCTTATATGATGATAACTAAAAATGTTATAATAGTTCACACTTTTGATTAGGTGTATACTCGTACACCTAACGAGAATACTCATACTCGTATGTTATAAAAAAAATAATCACACAAGTAAAGTATGGGAAACCCATGCCTTGCATGCCGTAAGGCCGGTAACGCACTTGTAACACCTCTGGTGTTTCTGGTATCCATGGGCGGCGCCGATTGCTTACCACCACCTTCTCGTTTACCGGTTTATCCCATAAAAAATCATGTTCGTTGATTAACGTTATATTTAAGATAAATACTAAAATCTCAAAATACTTACCTCAGATAACAAGCACTGTATCAAAACAATAAATAAGAAAACGAAACAACTGAACAGTAAATTCTAAATAACAGATAGATAGTAAGCAAACTCACATAGCAACAAAATTGTGTTCAAATTACAAGCTAGTCGTACAAACGAACCGTAGATGTTTGTTTACGAACCCAATCAATACACGTTAATTTGATTGACATCGGTCCACCATCGAATTATTCATTGGGATTATCCTTAAAGTTATCGGCTTCAATATCATGACTTGCTCCATTTTGAATAATTGATTCCATGCCGTATTGACGTAAGGATTCTGTCTCAAGGGATTGGCCAGTTAGTTAATCTTCCAATTTGAATAGAATCTACCCATCCATGAAGTTTTCCTGTCCACTGCTTGTCCAAAATAGAGGTCCGGTGAAAAGATCGATTTGCCTGAGTGATTTTGGTGGTTAGTTAAGATAAGGTACAACTTTGATCGACAGTTTAATGTACTGACCAAACAGTGCACAACCACTGACAAAACTTGGGTAATGGGCGAGTTGAACACTTTGTTTTATTCAATTTTTTAGATGGTTATGTGAAGTTATAAATTACAGTATTTCTAGGGAATTTTTATATTTTTCACAGTTTTATCGTATTATATTTTAAATTACAAAATATACCCGCAATGTTTAGTTACACCATTATTCAAACATACAGAAACTACTTGACCTCCCAAACTGAATAACTTGGTACCACCAATAACCCAAGTTTAGACATTACAGGTATTATCATTGTCTGTAAGCACAATAGTTCTAGACTAGTTGGTGTTAATATGGCCTTGTTTATGACCAAAACGTGACGTTTCACATTTAATACATAGCTAACGATCGAACATTAATGGTTTGAGATTCTGTTGGGAGCACAACTTCGATACTGTGAATTTGAATTTAAATAGTTTTAATCAATGTTTGACTGTAAGTAACGCACTTAAACGATCGAGTGGATCTTTGTCATATTGATAAATATAAAACTAGGGTATGATTGTACATTGAAAACTGTTAATTGAGTATATTAATTGTGTGTAGGTATAGAGCATAGCTATAGTAGCTATGCTCATGAAGTTGGTTAAGAAACAATACGACCGATACGACCTTCAAACTTTCAAGAAAATAGGGTATTCCTTTTTAAAAAGGCCGGCAACGCACCTCTTCCTCCTCGGGTGTCGCGGGTGTCTATAAGCGGCGCTGATCGCTTACCATTACCATCAGGTGATCCGTTCACCGTTTGCTCGTTTACCCTCTATTCCATAAAAAAAAAAGAAATGGGATTTTCAAGTATTGATTTTTTTGCATTCATAAGTGCCATTTTTCTCAATCAACCTTTTTCCTACTTTTATGGCACTTGTCATACCTACGTAAAAAATTGAAGGTAACAAAAATATTATCAAAGTGCCTGCCGCCTTTTTCCACTCCTTTAAATTCTGAGCACTCTTGCTCACCACTTTTTGCCTTAGCAAAGAGGATTAAAGACAGATCATTTGACAGGTGAGATGGGTTATGCAGCAGAGGGAGTTGCGGAGGTCCAAGAGGGACCATCAGTCGCAGCCGAGGCACGTCATGAGGCAATCCAGTGCTCCTGCCTTCCCCGACCCTCTGTTCAAAGAGCAGTGGTATTTGGTGAGAATTTCAATCATTTTAGTTTGTGTAAATTTATTATTAATATTGTAGACAAATGCTGTAAGTTACCCTGGTGTAAATATAAGACAATAGTTTAATTTTTAAGAATTTAGTTCAAAGTTGGTTTTGTTAATCATACAAATAAAATTGTAATAATATGGAAAATAAAACATAAAAAGATAAAGATTTTAAACGTTTCAGTACTTCTGATAAAGTACTGGCCATTGTACGTTTATGAGCATCCGGCATGCCCTTCATAACAATTAAAAGACACATTAAAACGCAAAATTTTCGTTTGCTTTCATTGTTGGACTGAAGATAATGTAAAAATACTTCACTTTCGTTTTTAGACTACACTTAAAATGGAAAAAATGTGATTTTAGTAGACGCATATTTTATTCTGATTGGTTAATCAGAAATACAAAAAATTTCTTATATTATATTCTTTCATTTTAAAGTCTTCTTTTGCTATTTGACAAATTATAATGTGTAAGATAGTTAGATACTTTCATATTTTATTCAAAATTTTTATATCTTATAGTAATTTACTGTCCAAAGTAAAATAATCACATCAACGCAATTTATTCAACACAACAATGTTATTGGCTGTAATAAATCGAATGAATAATATTACGTTTAAAAATAATGCACTGCTTAAAATTCAGTCCAAGTAGAAAATATTGCAGAACATTTCAGAGGCAGATGTTAAGCATAATTTAATAGTACGAATGTACCAAGTCGACGAACTTTAGCAGAACAAAGCGAGACGCTATCATTTGTACTTGGTACCCAAAATTCATCCTACAAAGAATAGTGGCGAAATTACTAATTCAGTAGTTTAGTCCCTAGATCGAGGTATAAAGCGGATACCTCCTTTTCCGAGGGTTATTACCTGTGACCTTGATGTCCTATTGTTTTATAAGGCCACTCGTAATGTTGCCTGCTTTATTCGGGTACAATTTTATTGTACGGAGGTTGACTAAAGTGGGAATGAATTCCGTTGAATAAAATATAGGGAGGTATGAAACGTTTCCACCGGTGTGATGAATTTGTTCCACTTTATTTGGTAATAAGTCGTCCCCGACACGTTTTACTGGGAAACGACTTGTGAATCGTACACATCAAATACGAATACGGAATATTGTATGTTGCTTATTACATGCAATCTTACTTTTCACAGAATTTGTCATTTTCAGTACTATACGTTGAAGAATTTAGTGTTTTTGAATTTTATTTTGTTAGCAGTTTATGATGCTGCAAGGTTAAAGCTCGAGTCATAATTATATTATAGTAGGTCCCGAGTCTTTAATTTTACTAATTGAATAGCTTTGTCATTTTGGTTTTAAGGCATTACAACTTTTATGGCCAGGTTAAACACCTTGGCCTCACGCACGTATGTGTCTATTACAGTAAAGTGTATCTACAATAATAATTATAGTCACGAAAAGGAAGAGGGTAGCGGTTAGTTATAGATAGGTTGATACACAGACTCATGACATCGTACCCAAAAATATATGTATATGTACCGCAATGATGTTATTGAAAAATATGGCGGTTTTTCATTATTTTCAGCAAAATAATCGATTATCCTTTAATGTGGAAAATTAGACTTGAGATTACAAATACTTCAGTGAGTAGTTTGTTAGTAATCACTATTACGTAACACTCGTCACACTTCGCTCCCCTTCCACGTCAACATCAACATTAAGTATGCAATGCGCAAAGAGTAGTATTCGTCCACTAGAGTGCATTTGTGAGTTAACTATTTTTAGATATTATTAATCTTTTCCCTTGCAGAATGGAGGTGCAGCTGACGGCTTAGATATGAATGTTGGCTATGCTTGGAGGAAGGGCTACACGGGGAAAGGAGTCGTTATCACCATCTTAGATGACGGCATTCAACCTAACCATCCAGATCTATCACAGAATTACGTAAATATATATTTAATATTTCCCAAAAGTACTATGAAACACCCATTAATCAAGGTGCTAACAACTGTGAAATGAAAATTCAATTTAGAACAAACGATTTCTCTAAACCGTACATGTATTACGTAGCTGACGTGTATTGAACAGATAACCCGATATTGTAGGACCCTGCGGCATCGACGGACATAAATGGGAACGACACGGACCCGACACCGCAGGACAATGGCGACAATAAACACGGCACCCGGTGCGCGGGTGAGGTGGCTGCGGTCGCCTACAATAGATATTGCGGCGTCGGCATAGCTTACAATGCCAGCATTGGAGGAGTCAGGATGCTCGACGGCCTTGTTAACGACGCAGTGGAAGCCCAAGCACTGGGATTTAACACACATCACATAGACATATACAGTGCGTCATGGGGCCCCGAGGACGACGGCAAAACAGTCGATGGCCCCGGCCCTCTGGCTAGAAGGTATTGTCTAATTGCACGTGGCTTAGAGAAATGGTTACAGGCGAGCTCATTAAAAAGTGCTTTGTTTCAGGGCGTTTATAAATGGCGTGACGAACGGAAGAGGCGGGAAAGGATCTATTTTTATATGGGCGTCGGGAAACGGCGGCAGGCATACGGACTCTTGCAATTGTGATGGATACGCGAATAGTATATTTACTATTTCTATTTCTAGTGCAACACAGGGGGGATACAAACCGTGGTATTTAGAAGAATGCTCTTCAACAATAGCTTCAACTTATAGTTCAGGAACCCCAGGTCGAGACAAAAGCGTGGCCACGGTTGATATGGACGTGCAATTACGGCCTGATCACATTTGTACTGTAGATCACACAGGTACATCGGCGTCGGCGCCATTAGCTGCAGGAATATGCGCATTAGCTTTAGAAGCAAATCCATTACTAACCTGGAGGGATATGCAACATCTCATCGTAATGACATCTCGTTCACAGCCACTAGAAAAAGAAGAAGGATGGATCGTAAATGGTGTGAAGAGAAAAGTGAGTCATAAGTTTGGTTACGGGCTAATGGATGCCGCTCAGATGGTAACATTAGCCGAACAATGGACAAATGTACCCCCACAGCACATTTGTAAGTCGCAAGAAATAAACGAGGACAAGTCTATTGAAACATCTTTCGGTTATACGATATCAGTGCACATGGATGTGAATGGGTGCAGCGGGACGATGAACGAGGTCAGATTTTTGGAACACGTTCAATGTAAAATTTCACTGAGCTTTTTCCCTAGAGGAAATTTACGGATATTGCTTACGTCGCCGATGGGGACTACTTCCACCCTTTTATTGGAGAGGACGCATGACGCAACGAGTTCTAACTTCGACGATTGGCCGTTTTTAAGTGTCCATTTTTGGGGAGAAAGTGCCGAAGGGCGTTGGACCCTTCAGATATTAAACGCCGGTAATATCCACGTCACTCAACCGGGCATATTGAAAAAGTGGCAGTTAATATTTTACGGCACGGCTACCAGTCCAATACAGTTACGAAATAAAAGCTATTTTAACTCAAATAATGTTTACAAGCAAGAAAAGGCTTATCACGTTAACGACGTTTACGACGCCTCAGAATACTCCCAATTCCTCAACGAAATCGAACTTGGCATTTCTGATAGACGTAATTACCCCAAAAATATTCCATCCACACAGCGTAAAAATGTTTTGGCAGATGCCAACGATAAACAAGTGCAAAGACTGTGTGATCCGGAATGTGATTCACAAGGCTGTTATGGGAAGGGGCCAACTCAATGTGTTGCTTGCAAGCATTATCGTTTAGATAACACATGCGTGTCTCGATGTCCCCCGAGAAGCTTCGTTAACCAAGGTGGTGTTTGTTGGCCGTGCCACGAGTCATGCGAGACGTGTGCAGGAGCTGGCCAAGATTCGTGTCTCACATGCGCCCCCGCTCATCTGCTAGTAGTTGATTTAGCTGTTTGTTTGCAAGTGTGTCCGGAGGGGTATTATGAAGACCCCGATGCTAACGCCTGTTTTCCATGTGCCGAGCATTGCGATACCTGTTCTGAAAAGGCAGATATGTGCTCCTCGTGTGTTCATAATTATGTCCTTTACAACGGCTCTTGTTTAGCGACCTGTCCTCCTGGTACACATCAAAAAGATGATTTCGGATGCATACCATGTCATGAAACGTGTGAATCTTGTCACGGCCCTAGCCAAAATGCTTGTGTTTCGTGTCGCATTGGTGATTACGCATTTAGAAATTGCTGTGTAGCAAAATGCCCCTCAGGATATTACGCCGACGCCCAAAGAAGAGAATGTTTGCCGTAAGTGTTATTGTTATGATAATTTATCTTTACATTCCATTCCGTGATGAAACAGAGGTCGTCAATCTTACGAACGCTTGGAATTTCAAACATTTTGCTTTGAACTACATCTTATTCGAGCATTTAAATTGTCGTCTTTATATTTAATCCCGATTAAAGAATAAAAAAATGTTGTTTTAGGTGTTCAATTGGTTGTTCTGCTTGCACCAATGCCGTTTGTACAGTATGCCAAGAAAAATGGATTCTGACTAAGAGTGGAACTTGTCTACCCGATGGCAATGATAAATGTGACACAAGTAAGTACCTAATGTCCGTGAACAATGATATTTACGTGTTATCTTGTTTAGACTAACTGAAGAATTATTACAGATGAGTATTACGAAGGGGGAAGGTGTAAAAATTGCCACTCGCTCTGCGAGAAATGTAGCGGGTCTAACGACTGGGACTGTTTGTCTTGTTCGAGTCCCTTGTTGTTACAAGGATCGAGGTAATGGCCCTTTATCCATCTGAACCTTTCCTGTACGGTTTCGAGTGCTCATTTAAACATGAAATATTGATTTTAGGTGCGTAGCTGAGTGTGGACCAGGTTTCTATCAGACTGCAGGAAGATGTTCGCCGTGTCCACATACTTGTAAGAGCTGCGTATCAAGATTGAACTGCACATTGTGCGCTGGTGCCTTACGTTTGCAGTCAGGAACATGTAGAGCGATTTGTGCTCCTGGCTACTATCCTGATGAAGGGACTTGTTCCAAGTGTTACTTGTCATGTGAGACGTGCACAGGCCCTAGAAGAGATCAATGTGCATCATGTCCCCCTGACTGGAGATTAGCGGCGGGAGAGTGCCACCCCGAATGTCCGCAGAACTTCTTTTCTTGGCAGGCGGGTTGTCGTCGTTGCCACCATTATTGTCAAGACTGTCATGGCGCTGGGCCTCAGCGCTGTACATCATGCCCACAGCATTTTTCATTAGAAAACGGTTTATGTGTGGAGTGCCTTAGTTCTCAGTACTACGAGCCTAGAACGAGGAGTTGTCGCCCGTGCCACGACTCCTGCAGGTCATGCTCGGGTCCGGGTCCAACCAGTTGTCTCACGTGTGCACATCCCCTACGTTTAGATAGGTCAGTATAATAAATAATAATGAAATAACTTAACAACTTACGAAGCAATTCCATTTTAGTTGATGACTTTAATTGAGTGAAGCTCTATGTCAGAATGACATTTAATTATTTTATTAATAACACTCAACAATTATAATAGGGTTGTTTGATGGGTAGGACTTCCATCAATAATAAATGAAGCAGTGAAATATGATATTGTTATGTTTTTTTTTAGTAGTTTTTAGCTGATTGTTTTTTTTTCAATCATATTTTTCACTCAGTGCTGTTTCGAACAATAAGATTGTTTTTTTTGTTTAAATTCTTATTATATTTACATAAAACGTTCTATCAATTCCTTATTATTCGCAGAGTGAATCACAAATGTTTGCCATGCTGCACCGAGAGCACGGTGTCGCTTCTCATAAATAGTAATCAGACCGATTGCTGCCACTGTGATAAGGATATTGGTAAGTTTAATAGCATGATGTAGAAAATTACAAAGCACATGTGTTTCGACTAAAAGTAGAAAATTTGAGATTTTTCTATATCACACGAAACTTTTAAAACCAGGAACTCCATAACAGGTTACTTGATCTAAAAATTAAAGATTAGAACGTGTACTGACATCTGTAGCTATTTCACTAAAGGGGTATATTATTTATAACACAAATTTGTTACAAATTTACTTGAGTGTTATTGGTAATACGTGTTGCCGAAGTTTTGATTTTTATCAAGTCACCTCACGTACATACAAATTACGCATTTGTAATGTTTTGACAGATAAATCTAAGATAAATACTTACATAAACTTTGGGGCATATCCAAAAGTAAATGGTAGCAACTTTTGTGATTTATAAATCTCGACGGAGTCCTTCATCTTACTTACGAAGCTCTATGCCCTAATTTTTGTTTAAGGATTCTCTCGCGCGAATTTTCGGAATCGAAACTTTATTTTAGTATGTTCATTGAGATTTTTGTCAATAGAAAAGAGCAAAGTGTATGCTTCTAAATGCTAACTTACCAAAAATGTGGTCTGGACATAAACCAAATGTCAATCACATGCGCATATTTGGTTGTGAAGCTATGGTACACCTTCCCAAAGAAAAACGAAAGAAGTGGGACCCTAAGGCTCAGAAGATGATCTTCATTGGGTACTGTGATCACACAAAAGGCTACCGATTCATAATACCTGAAACTCGAAAAGTAGTGAAAAGCAGAGATGCTATATTTCTAGAGTCCACTGTGAAGATAACTTCAGACTCTGTCAAAGCAAAATTGTTACAAGATGTTAGACAAACTGTGAGTAATTCTACAGCATTTGCAGCTAACAAGAAATTTCATAAAACTAATAAAAAACAATCTAAAGGACCCAGGTGCTTCAGTTGTAATAAGTATGGTCATAAAAGTTCAGAATGCAAAGGCCAAAACAAAGTTAATTTTGCTGGTTGACCCAATTAACTACGTACATATACAGGAGGCAATCACTGCAAAGGAAGTTTGGGACAAGTTGTCAGCTGCCTTCGACGACTCCGGGCTGACACGCCGAGTTGGTTTATTACGTGATCTGTGCAATACTTCGTTAACAGGATGTGAAAACATTGAAGAATATGTGGGCAAGATTATGAACACTGCCCATAAGCTCCGCAACATAGGGTTCAAGGTAGACGATGAATGGTTAGGAACACTACTACTCTCCGGTCTGCCTGAGTCTTATCAGCCAATGATAATAGCTATTGAAAGCTCGGGAATGAAAATAAATCTTCAGACAGTGATTACTTACCTGACACCTCTCTTGATAGTCCTAAACTCAGCAACATCACACTGAGACCTAGAAAGAAAATAATAAAAGGTACTATAGATATAGATGATTCAGAAGAAAATACTTACCTGTGTCACCATGAAGAACACCTCTCAGATATTCCTGCAACATATAAAGAGGCTTTAAATTCAGCAAATAAAGAAGAATGGAGAAGATCCATTAATGAAGAACTAGAAGCTCATCAGAAAAACAATACCTGGACATTGGTAGAAAAACCCCCAAATGCTAAATTAATAGGATGCAAATGGGTGTTCCGAGTCAAAGATGAAACAACAGGTCCACGCTATAAATCACGATTATGTGCCAAAGGATATGCTCAAACAGAGGGCATTGATTATAAGGAAACCTTTGCACCAACAGTGAGGTATGATTCTATCCGGTTATTATTATCTGTAGCTGTTCAACAAAACCTCGAAATTATCCAACTAGATGTCAAGACTGCCTTCTTATATGGTGAACTTGAAGAGACTATATAATGACTCCACCACAAGGACTGAGCTGCAAAGAAAATATGTGTTCCAGTCGACCCTCACATGAAGTTACAAAAGGGAGAAGGCGAGCTGAGAAGAACATACCATACAGAGAAGCTGTGGGATCTCTCATGCATTTGGCCATAGTGAGTCGACCTGATATCATGTTTGCTGTCAGTCTGGTGAGTCGATTCCTTAATAGTTACAACCAAACACATTGGAATGCAGTTAAAGGATTTTAAAATATTTGAAAGACACAAAGGAGTAAGGCTTGTGTTACACTAACACCACACAACCCTCAGAAGTGACTGGTATAGTGATGCCGACTATGCAAACGATTTCGACACCCCGTCGATCAGTTACCGGCTATGTTTTTATGAAAAATGGAGCCGCTGTAACATGGGCCAGTCAGAGACAACCAACTGTGGCCCTATCCACGACGGAGGCAGAGTTTATGGCTGCCTGTGCTGCCACTAAAGAGGTGATGTGGCTCAAACAATTTTTGTCTGAAATTGGAGAATACACACAGGATATACTATATCTTCATCTAGACAATCAAAGTGCAATCAGTGTTATTAAAAATGTGAATTTCCATAAACGTTGTAAACACATAGATACCAAATATCATTTCATTAAGGAAAAATATCAGCAGAAGGTTATAGATTTAAAGTATGTCAGTAGTGACACCCAATTTGCTGATATATTAACCAAAGCATTGTCTAAACACAAGTTTCAATTTTTAAGATCCAATCTTGGAATGTGTCCATGTACTTAATTTGTTAAAGTAAATTTACATAATTATATATCTTATTATTGATATAGAATTTGATAGGAACATTATTAAAATTGTATTATTTTTGTTTGTAACTAGTTAACAAGGCTCGAATTCAAGGGGAGTGTTAAAATTAAAAAAAAAAAATGTAATTTGAATTTCGCGCCTTATGACGCCAACTCACGCTTGGCTACTTGTAATATTTTTCTATCTCCCGCCTTTTTCTTTTCTAATGTCAATGTCTGTTAAAACATCGTAACGAGTACCGGTATAATAAAGATTTATTGTAATTAAACCAGTGAATACGCCTTTAATTTAACAGATAATACAATATTTGGTTCGATAATTAAGTTCATTTGTTAGAAAAAGGAAACAAAAATAATATACTATACTTGCTATGGATAGTAATTTTCTATATCTTCCGATACGTATAAATTAGTCATGTACACTACAAATACTCAAAATTAGAATAAAAGAAATTGTCTTGAATATTATACCTAAGGCATTAATTTGTCTATACAGAACCAAATTTTTTACCTATTCTAATGGATTTAAAATGACTAACAAGTTTATGTATAATAAGCCAATCACTTTCAACTACAAGTTTCGAGAATTCCAATCGACTTACTTAAAGAAAATGTTTTCTAGAAAGACTGTGTATTTAGTTCGTACAAAAGAATTAGATTTGTAGTTGACCTTAAACACAGTCGTTGCCCTGAAGATATACTAGTTCCCAATATACGATATATTGATAGTTATCCTTACAAATACCTTTTGTCCCTTCAAAGGTTTCTAAGCTTTGTGTACGAATGGTTAAGGTTAGGTTTACCAACATTCATTAATTGTGGCTACGCTTATACAACGAAATGTTGCTTTGTTGACGATAATCACATTACGTACTAATGTTTTCTTTTTGTGTCGAACGGAGATTGTGTTTAAAATGAAGTATCATTGACTTGAATGTTTTTGTTTAACTATGCCGAAAGGGGTAAGCCAAGTTATTTAAAATGTATAAATTTAATGAATTTTAAAATAGGTATGCACTTGTAGCGTGTGCTAGTAGTCATGACTAAATGACTAATTTGGCCATCATGTAGATTCGATGTTATAACTAAACACAATGAACGTTACTACTATAATGAATTAATGAATAATGTTTTCAGTAACAATTAATTTCCCAGTAGATAACTATTAAATTGTCAGTGAAACAAATTCAAAATATCTGATATAGAAAATTGGCTGCAATTTGCTATGCGGGCAGTAATGCAGAGAGAATATCGTTTGATTTTTAGTTTTTAAATCAAAACGATTTTCAATTGACTGTATTATTTTGGAATAATCAAATTTAATTAAGCATTTTCTATTATTATTTACGGTAACCACATTGGTTAAGTGATCTTAAACGCGAGGATCGAACTATGGATCTCAGTTCCTCTTCCAGGGGTAGGAAATGTTCGACAGTACATTTCCAGAAATTTCTCAGAGTTCGGAATGATATTCCATAAATAGAAGTATAGGTTGTACTACATTTTACTATATGAAACTCATTACACAATTGATATAAAGTTGAAAACATTTAAAATGCTCGGATCAGAAGCCACGTATTGTAATTTCTATACATCCTGTTTAATATCATTTAATCCGTAATTTTTTCCAACGAAATCTAGGAACTATTAGTAAGTAAATCTTTGTTCCAGGAGGTTGTTTAAACGGGTCATCAGCAGGCAAGCGGCGGATAGCCGAGAACATTGGCACGCACATAACGGCACCATTTTTCATCGAGGACTCTAACGATGCCTCGAACATTCTAGAACGTAACTCACTCGCTGTATGGAGTGTGGGCGTCTTTCTACTGGCTACAGTCCTCACTCTGATTGCTGTTAAGGTACATTTTGTTTGTATTATAAAATTAGATACCTCAATGTCGTCATCGTCAACAGGCTATAAGCACTTACAAGTTTTGAGCATTAATCACCACGCTTGCTCAATGCAGGTAGGCGATGACAATCTTATAATAAGAAATTATAAGCCCAGGTTTCCTCACGATGTTTTCCTTCACCGTTTGTCAGTGGTGTCTAGTGGTGATAATCTTAGAAATACAATATAACTCGTAAAAGGTCACATTGGTACTTGCCGTTGGTAGGTTTCGAACTCGCGCTCTCGTGCATGAGAAGCGGGCATCTTAAACTTCTGGGCCATCACAAAATTATACATATATATGAATGTAATGTAATGTAAAGGAAAATCAAGAAGTCGGTACGTTAGGAACGTGATAGGTGGTACTCTGTAGTTTCTGCCTGTCTCCATATGATAATGAATAGTAATGGTTTATGCCTCTATGTAAAAACTAAGATTAGTCCCTTTTCATTCCAAAAGATACTAGCATAAATCAAGATATATGACTGTTAAAATTAAATATCTTTAAAAGCAGCTTAGACCTCATAGTTTGACAGTAAGCTTTTTGGGTGGCGTTTTTTCAGGCACTTTTACGACCAATGTCAAATATTGACACTGGATTATTTATTTTAGTACAGTTTAAAATATTTTTCTTGCTTGGAAAGTTGTGATTAATTACTTAATTAATGCTAGCTAATTCATAAACAAAACTTTACTAAAATGAAATTGTTCTGTTGTTTTATTTTTTGCTAATACACTTTTATAGCATCTACGTCTGAAATTGCTCTAATTTAGTAACTTTGGACAGTTAAAATAGGATACTGAAACGACTTTGATTAACGTGAATTTAATATGAGGTATAAAATAAAACATTTATTCCACAGTTAAAAAGGTCAAGAACACCCAAACACAGGACTATGTTCCCGAAGACCGAGTACTCCCAGCTGACCACCATCGACGAAGACTTGATAGCGATGACGTCATCGACCACTTTGAAAGCCCTTGACAGTATACAAATACAAAGTAAAACTCAACTAGAAGAACCAACATAGCAACATGAACCTTAAACTCGATGTAATTAGAGTATATTTTACACTGCAGACTGATATGTAGGAGTTTCAATATACGATTCGTGTAAATAGTTGAAGTAAATACTATTACCTAACTATCAAGTGGTTATTTTATTATTTAAGCAAAATTATACGAATAACGTAAACGTTATGTTTAAACTTTAGTTGTTAGACTAAACATTTCTAAGAGAAATTATTTATTTGGAAATTTTCATCTATTTCAAGTTATGAATTAAAACTTAATGAAAAGAAAATTCATAAAATGATTCGCAGTAAATTGCAATGCAATTAAAATTTACATTGTTTTTATTTCTGAAAATTAACGAATCAAATGAAACTTTTTAATTAATCAGACAGTTGGCAACATGTAATTTAAAGTTTATCATATTACAACCACGAACATGTAATAACATTTCTTGCATACAAACTTAGCTAAACATTTCTATGCAAATGAATGCAATTCATCTCGCATATGGAGTACATAATTGTATTTTTAATTAGTTTACGTAGCCATGTTGAATGTCAGAATCTAATTATCAATTAGCATGAAGTATGATTGTTGGTTTCACATAATTACTACAAAATAATTTTGGTAAATAATTTGATGAAAGATTACTCAAAAATACTTACCTTGACGATACGTTTTACTTCTTTAAGTTCTTTCGTGTTCTAGTTTTTCTCCATTTAGATTCTATACCAACTAATGAAGTAAGTATATACTCACTTTTAATTATTTTTTTAAACAAAATATTCTTTAATTTTATTTTAAACAAATAATTTTTGATTTTCAAAACCAACAATCTCGCATCAAGCAATTAGAACGCATTAATGTAATAAAAACTCAAGTATACAATATGAATGTTCTAGATGTTTTTGCACTGTGTGTAAGCAATTTCCATAAGGTCGACATTACTTTACGTAAATCGCATTTAACGTAGATTTGTAAGAAAGAAATAAAGGGAAAGACTGCAAAGATAAGTGGTTTGGGTTGAAGGAGCGTTCAATTAGATCAGACCGAACGACGGCGGAGTGAATACGCTATTGGCTTGTTTCTTGCAATCAAACCAAATATTTGACTTTATTACAAATTCTTTATCTAACTTGCTTTACTTTTGCATAGGTTTTTGAAAGGTACAATTTAGGTAAATGAAATTAAAAGTACTGTTAGTTTTCATCATAAACCAAAACAAAATTATTTATCAAACTGTAATTGTAATGTAAGATTCTCAAACTTATCGTTTATTAATAAAGTTGAAAATCATTTGACGATTCAAATTAATTTGATATTGTTCCGGTGTTCAAAGTTATGTCGACCTATGTGAGGACCAGTATATGTTCAATGGGACCCAATACACAGCTTCATTTTGTATTTATAACTATTGTGAGACATATAAAATGTATTATGTTACACGACTCACTCGCGTAACTGTTCGACGAGGCGACCTGGCTGAGGGTCCCGGCGTGTCTCAAAAGTAGTCGAATTACCCCGTCAAACAGTTACATGAATACGCCGTACACAGCTTCATGTTATGTGTAATTGTGTTTATAGTAATACCAACATATCTACATAGTAATTTATTTAAATGTTGTTTTGTTTCACCGCTGTACTGTGTAAATACGGTTCAATTATTACTGTAATAGACTTTGATCATGTAAATATGTAAATAATGACAGTTGTAAATATATCAATGGTTTTTATGACGGATAATTTATGTGGTTGTTTCATTTATTTACTTTTATATAACTATACTGTTACACAAAGTTGCTGAATAAATACACTATATTTTCTCAACAAAGACACATTTAATACATTTCTAAGTAGCAAATAGAAATAGCATAGGTAACTCAATTTACGTAACTAATTAATCATTTTCTTTTTTCTTGCTAGTTTGACTCGCCAGAAGCAAGCGCAATTTCAATTATTGCTGCAAAAAACAATAAAGTTTGCATAAAAATTGAATAATATGCAATATTCTACAAAGGACGTGTTCTTAGAAAACTGATTACAATACAAAAAGGATTCTTTGTAAACATAGACAAGTAAGTTTTCTAAATAAAATGAACAAGTCAGATAAATAATTAAAAATACTAGTACATAGGCATTAAGTAGGTAAAACTTGCAATTTCCATTTTTCGTGTCTTTTCAAACTAAAAATATACATTAGCTATGAGTTACGTTTTTTAATGGGATACAGGTAAACGAGCAGACGGATCACCATCATAGTTGGGCCTCCGGTAACCTCACACGCACGGCGAAACACAACGCAAGCGTTGTTCCACGTCGGTTTTCTGTTAAGCTCCGTATCACTCCGGTTTAGCCGGCTCGTTCGTGCCGAAGCATGGCTCCCCCACAATTTTTTATTTTGACTAATAAACAGATTTGATGTTCGTAGGATATTTATTTAAAAAATAAACTTATTAATTTAATCCCTGTAAAAATGCTCTTTTGAAGACACGCAAAGCGCATTGAAAGAGCCGTCAATAAATAATTCAACGGCAGGAACATCTTAAAACACATTTTTTATATTTATTTATTCAGTTCATCGTTTAAAAAAGTTTACCTTCCAACTCGACTGGTTGGATGGTTGGCTCAATCGATTCAATGACGACGGAATAAAAACTCCAGTTGGAATTTGTTTTTTATTGGCACGCAAATCAATTTATTTTGAATGCTCAAGTTAGAAAAATAAGTTGCTAAACTTGTAACTTAAACAGAATTTATGCATATTTTCCATAGAAGGAAGACATACCTTAAGAAATAAGTTAGATTTGTGGTGATGTTTCTTAATTATTAGTTTGGTAGAAAATTTCAACTGCATTAATAATTGGTAAAAATCTTAATTGCGAATTGTAGGAAATGAACAGCTTTTTATAAACAATAGTTACTAAATAATAAGAAAATAATGTTTCATATAGTAAAACTGTTTTAATTGAGAACAAGATTTTCAACTATTTGTATGATCCCTAGAGATTTTCTGGTGGACACAAACAACCTTGCTTGTTAATACAAATCAACGCGCGTTCACGCACGTTTCCAAAACTAGGTTATCTCGAAATGTCGTTGACATATAGCGTTTGCGCGCACTAATAGCTGTGTTGTTCCCTGAAGGATTTGTACCCGCAATAGCGAAGGTACGTTTATTTTTATCATGGAAATAGGGCTTAACGGTAGATTACTCATAATTGTAAACGCCTTTTATGTATAGCATTTTAAATCGATAGATTAATAAAAACGAATAGCATTTATTGCTAAGTGGGTTTACCCAATGTACATGTAACACCCAAGAATGACTGTACAAAATGAAACAACTATATATAAAGGTATAGGCACAGCTCCATTCCTGTACGAAAGAAGAAACCAAAACAGACCCAAAATAACTGAATTTCGCACGCCTATACGAAACGGAAATAACACGTTAGTAAAAAAGTCGGACTATTCAGTCACTTTTCAAACAAACAGATCACCTGATGGTAAGCAATCGGCGCCACCCCTGGACACCCGGAACAATAGAAGCGTTACAAGTACGTTTCCTGCCTTTTGGGTATTAGGACCTCCGATAACCTCAATCACACGACGAAACACAACGTAAACAAGTTGTTTCACATCGGTTTTCTGTAAGGCCGTGGTATCACTCCGGTCGAGCCGTAGCCAAGCCGTCATTCGTACCGAAGGATGGCTCTCCCACGCTTATTCACTTTGAATAAACAAATTAAGTAAAAGGACTTGTGCAATGTTTGAATAAGATTGGGTATTAATTTAACAGCTATATCCGTGGGTTTTATAAAAATGACACCATTAGTGGTGCGACAATAAAAACGGATTACATCCACTCCTAACGACGATACGTAACAGGGAGACATACAGCCGACTAGTTTGGTCAGCACTGCAAGCAAAGTTTCAGTGTTATTGGCGAATGCAATACTATGTAGGGTTAATGGGAATCCCTTACAACTTTACTAGATCATATCACTTACTTTTGTTGTGTGACTTTTAATAAATAAAGTTTTGTGAATTTTATGTTGGTAGTGGGTAGTTGGCGACGTTGATTGAACGCTGTGTGCGAGATACTAATCAGGCGTCTTCGAAATTTGAAATTGAGAGGTAAAAATAGTTTTAAATATTTAAATAAGTCGATTAAAACTAAATTAATACGATAAAAATGTAGGTACAAGACAAAAAGTAATAGCGGACTAAGCCCGAAGTATTCAATAGAAGGCGACCTTATATCTAATATTACACCTAAAACGTTATGAAACAAAGAATTCTCATCAAGAAACATCGTGAAGCTCACAATCTTCCTGAGCTCTGTGTATCTGCAGCTACTAACTCCAGAGATAAACTGTTTCGCATCCGAAATACATCTTCTGGAAGGGAACAAATGCTTTGAGAAAATAAGCCTTTATTTCCATAGCCAGGCACAATGTGTCAAACGACTGCTTCGATGTGAATGGCCAAGGAAATCTAGAATTAGATTTCGTGCTAGCCTTTTGTACGAGTCCTAAGTAATGTTCATACTTTTGCGAGATCATTTGATAGTACTTGAATTGTAGGAAGAGTTTTAGGAGAAAATGTGGTGGAAAGATTGTGCGAAAGTAATCTTGTTTATTATGACGTGATGGTTCTGGTGTTGCAGGTAGGTAGGTAATATTGCTAACGTGACCAGTATTGATAGTATCTACAAATAAGCAGATTTCGCCCAAAATGTGTTTAAAATACGTGATTTAGTTGAACTTCATTTTTTAATTTGCGTGAATCTACAGTTTGTACTTTATAATATTTATGTTCAAAGTTAAAGTCAAAATTATTTATTTCAATTAGACCAGGAAGGCATTTTTAAACGTAAACAAAAAATTAAAAAGTGTTAAACGTCTACTAATCGATCACTGTTAATTTTATCATATACGGAATATTTGTTTTGCAATTCTGTTGACATTGTATTACCTCCTAAAAAAACCACCACTATATACCTATACACAGAGGG